GTAAGTGGAGACCAAAAACAAAATAGATACCTGTTTAGCTGCTGAATAAATTTTATTCATTATTAAAGATCATTTGCCGCCCAAATTTTCTGGAGGGTATTAGGGCTTAATTAATGCCAGTATTTTTTCTAGAGGTTGTTTTTTTTTTAACCTTGGCTCTTGGAATCATGACAAATTATGAATCTGAATATATAACACAAGATCTTATCAAGAACAATACCAGTCTAGAGGGTGGCCATTTTGCTTTGCATTCCAGCAATTCCAATATTCCAGTAATAAAAACTGTTTTGAAAGATTTTAAAGATAAAAGGGAATTTTGCATTTAGATTATAATACATATGAATGACAAAGGATGGGTGATTCTGCCCTCCAGACTGGATTACTGTTGGCCTCTGTTTACGTAAAACTGTGTGTGTGAGGAAGAATGCAAGTTTCCCAGTCTGTGTATTCTGACTTACAGTGAAGGATGCAAGAGAAGTCAGACAAGCAGCTTGCAAGCTTGTCATGTTAGTTTATATGAGCAATATGGAAGGCTTATAGGTTCTCTAATTCCTCTGTTCTGTAAAATAGAGATTAAAGCACCTTTTTTTAGCTGTTCTTCAAGTCCATTAACTTAAAAGCTAGCCATATTCACTTCTGGGGGAAAGAGATTAAATATGTGAAAAAGCAACACTTTTATTAACAATCCATCTTTATCTTCCTGTTTGCAATGGGTTTTATGTGTTGGTGTACTGTTGACTATTAGAGCTTCACTTAGGCATCAGAATACATTTCTAAAGAAGACCCAGGAGCTCTCTTGTACTATATTAGTCATATGGAAATAATGGAAAATGGTAAAATTATCCACTGATTTTTTCCCCTTTGCTGTTAATTTGTTTCCCACCCAATTTGTTTGGGCTAACATCTAAAGAGATTATAGGCCTCAAATAAGGGTTTCTTTGCAATTCCTAAAGTTAGACATTTTCATAGCAGCTGACATTAGTGTCATGATTCCAGGACAAGGTACCCCTTTTATTTATGGTATTGAACTGCTCTGCTGGTAGAACAGCTAAAGGGGGGAGAAATAGATCAACATTTCTAAACCATCATTTTGATGTAAGAACATTAGTAGCAAACTAAGATACATTGATCTGGCTTGTGGGGTCAGGATTAGCTAAAATAGCCAGTGTCTTTGCTGGAGTAGTGGTTATTCTTGCCTCCCAGCTATGGCCATTTCAAAGGTCAGGTGCCCTGTACCCACTTGGCTCAGAGGAATTAGACAGAACATGAGTCTCTGGGCTGATTACTTAACCAAAGACAAAATAATGAGTCCTAAGCAAATACTGACTAATTGAAAGGGCTGTAAATCCATTACATATTGGTCAGGGATAATCAGGAGTATTTAATCACTTTTATCTATTCAGGAGCACTGAAGCTGCAACAGCAAAGCCCTGAACCTTGCCATGTGCTTATTATTCTCATCATTATCAAAATTACTTCACAGCTGTTCTTTGCTACATCACCTCAGCTGGAGATTTACTAACCTGTAAAATGTTTTTAATTTGGAAGTCGAGTGAGTGTGAGTGGAAGGTTTTTCATATTTAGCTGTAGGGTATCTTTGGAGGAGTAATGCAGGGAAACAACTGAAACTGGGGGCTACAAATAGTCCATTTTCTTTTCTACAACACTGTATGTTCATTTCCTCCGCTGGCAGTAAGTTTGCAATATCTGGGTTTTCGTCTTTTTTCCTTTCTTCCTTGTGTGTGCGCTGAAAGCATTCAACACATGCTTACTAAACAATCAGCTGCCTCTCACTTATCTTGCGGAAAGTCTCCCTACCTTTGCCTTTTTAAAATTCCCCCTCCCACCATGTGCTTCATCTCAGATGAACTGAGGAAGTTCACCAGCTCTGATGAGGATGGCCCTGCAAAAAAAAAAAAACCTAAAAAAACCCCCAAAAACCTTTTACCTTTCAGGCTTTAATGAGTTTGCAGGTGCTGAAAGATTTACTGTGCTGTAATTCTCAGACCTGAGAACTGATAATGGAGACCCCTGACTAGTACAATGTAAATTCAGAAAGATTCTTGCCATAAGCACACACATAGAAGGAAGAAAACTCTTTCTTTTAAGGATCCCTCGCCTTTTCTCAAATTAGTTTATTCATTCAAAGTGCAACACCAGCTCTACCAGAGAGGGAATCTATGATGTACAGAGTATTGTTTCAAGTAAATTTCTTTACAAAAGGAATCCATGATTCAATGTACATTCCTTCATTACTACTTTAACCTTATTCCAAATCAGTTTGTCCCTCTTTTGTGCTGTATGACCTGTTCTTGTATTACAATAATCCCCTGATGTCCCCTTTTTTCTTTCTTTTTTTTTAAAGAAACTAATTGAATTATCTCATTATTTTAATTTGTTAAGCAAATGTATTTTACATCTCAGGATGTGTTCTTAAAGAAGGGGCTGCTTAGGCTTTGCCCCCTGAATGAGCCATTGGTGCATTTTGACATTCATGCATTCATTAAGAAAAGGAACATAAAAGACCTCTGGTTGTATTTTTTTTTCAAACACCCAACCAGCATGGAGCAACTTTTTCCATAATCCACAGGGGTCTCTCTACATATGTTCTCAACTGCAAGCCATTGTCACCTATTCTGAATACCTCAAAAGGACAAATAAAATACTAAAGGCCAACTGTAGCAATTGTTAGCTGTTAGTCTCAATATGACAAAAATCATTAACCTCTGGTTTTCCTGGAAAAAGAAGCTGTTTCAGTCCATCTCTAACAGTTCTGACTAAGCTCACAGATTCGTTTAGGCTGCCAAATTTAGGGGGAAGATAAATCAGTTCTAAGTAACTATATTTATTTATTACTTTTCTTTAAAAATAATGCTACCTTTTCCTTATGCAATATTCAGGTATTTTATAAACCTCTGTGATAACTGACTTTAAAAACTGAGCTGTTTCTTCATAGAAGCTTAAGTGGCTTTTTGAAGAGAGACAGGTGCTTAAACTCTGGCATGGAATTAATGTATCCTACAGATTTTTTCAAATTTTTCTTCTTCACTTGTCACCTTTTCCATTTTGCAGTAACTTTAATTATATTAGAAGTAAGATACACACGTGATTTTGTTGATAGAAATCATATGCAAAGAGTAGAAGCTTCTATCATTTTTTGTTCAGTTATTGAGATCTGTCTTAGATTTAGAATTACAACAGTACAGGAAGATGAAAAGATCTGAGGATGAATTGGTTGGAAATGTATATGCTTTTTCTGGATAATGTCCAGTGTTTGAGAAAGTAAAGGAAATCCTAGGCTGGTAGTATAAGCTTTTCAATAGTACATAAAGATTATGATATCAGAAAGGTAAACCTGACATTAAGGCTGTTTTTATTTGACTTCAAAGATAGTTAAAGAAAAGAAACAGCAAGAAATCTGACCCAAGCCGAGAGTTTATTCATAGCCTTGGAAAACTCTTTTTCCTCCATGCCAAGGAGCCCTTAGTACACTCAATTAGCTGCTCAGACATCTCTGCTTTCCTCCCTCAAGTGCTCCCCTATTTGCCCTGCAAAGAACATATTTGATCATGGAATGAAAACAGGAAGTGCTCAAACACAAAGACACCCCTTGCTCACATCAGTTTTGAGCTAAAGGTTTTCTTATTAACAACTGTAAGGGGGAAAATTCTGTTTTAAAAGGGTAGAGGACCTTTAAAATCTACGTACATAATCAGAACAGAACGTAGTCATAAAGGACGTAATTATACCATTCCATGGACTTGTACCTTTGGCAATTCATTCAGCAGCAAAGGATACTAACAGCTATACTTTTAGTTCATTCAGTATGCTTCATCTTTTTCCTCTGGTGTAGAACTGGTAAAACAGAATATGCATTTGCCTTAGTGGCACTTATCTGGAAGGATCCCCTTTGTTAAAGTTTCTGTTTTCTACTGTTTCTTTCCTGAAAAGTGTAAGGATGTGTATTTTGACTAAAAGTACAATTGCCTTTGGTACAAAAATACCAGGCATAGCATGTAAACTAAGCATTACATAGTATGAATTGCTGACTCAGATTCTCAGCTGAGAGCAATTTGAATGGTTCCATTGAAATCAATGGGACGATACTGCCTTCTTGTCGACTGAAGCTCTGGCCGTGATATCTTTTAAAACAATATAGGGGAAATAGGGCAAATATGATGTCTGGATTTTACAAAATTACATCCATTTCCTTCCTAACCTTGTACAGTTCATGGACCAAATTCAAAGTTTTGGAGTAGATCATTTCATTCCAACTGAATGGACTAAATAGACTAGAATCCTTTAGTTTGACTAACATCTGGATTATCTGTGTGTATAAGCTTTGCATGGCCTATGACATACAGGAGATCAGACCAGATGATCTGATGGTCCCTTCTGGCCATAATATCTATGAAACTGATTTACCCCTGGATTTACATTGATGGACCTGAGATAACAATCTGGGTTATATCTATTTGAAAGGATTTGATCACCTAGTTGTATAAGTATCTCTGTGGAGTTACTGTATGGTAGTCAATATTTTCATCATATTTAATCTCTTGGTTAGGGGGCTGGACCCAGTGATCTCTCAAGGACCCTTCCAGCCCTAATGTCTATGAAATCTATGAAAACGATACAACAGAAATCCTATGACCAATACCACTTTTAACATTTGGGGTCAGACAGTTCCCATTCACTTCAACACACTAAATCCTGCTAAGGATTTGTGTTGAAGGATTTATTTATTGGGGGGTGGGACTAGCAAGACATCTATCACTCTACTTACGTGAAACAGTAGAGCTGTAGCTTCAAGATAAATCCAGATGCCTGGTTGAGGAGAAGGAGGAGCAACATCCACCACCAAGTGCTTCCTGGCAGCTTCATGCTTCACAGAGAGTTGCCAATTAAAAAAAATCCCTGAATTAAGTTGCTCTGTGAGCTGGGAAGCCCATGAAAACAGAGGGGTTTGGTGGGTGTTCCACTGAATTTTAGTTCTTGTA